TATGTTATAATATACTGTGAACACTATAAGGATACATTATATAAGCATGAATTGTAAGAACATCGTTGGAGTCATCAGAGTCACCGCGTGCGCGCTCGATCGTCAGGTTAAGCAACAGTTTAATGCGGTCAGGACATGGATGGTGCCCAGCGGTATATCGCTTAGGATCGAAATTATCGCAGTAGGTTTCATGAAAGTTTGAAATGTGTTGACAACCTTCGATATCTTAGTAGTTTATGAGACATGAGAAAATTAGGAATATAAGTATATTTTTGTAAACATTATGATTTTCTCATTTTTCACCTTCGCATAATAATTCTCAGTATTTGATTACTATCAATATTTAACAGTGATTTTATTATCAGTATTCACCAGAAATTAAGTACTGGCCAAAAAATTATTGAATTACTGGTAATATTTAATCACTAATAATTTTTCAGTATTTCTTAGTATGATATTTCTATAAGGGTATATTATATCATTTGTATAAAATATTAAAATTATTAAAAACGTAAGAAATAATATTAAAAAGTCTACTTTTTGTATTATTCCGCGTGATCCACTTCCGCGTATCCTGCTCCATGGGACACAAGGAAAATAGAAAAAGCGCCGGAAAAAAAGCGGAACAACTGTGATTAGTCGTGCTAATGGCTTCTGCACACAAGATGCGGTAATGCTTGCCGCGCGGTGGAAGTGCACGCGATAGCCAATCAATATACTGCTTTAATAACCTTCTAGCTCTTACGGAAAAACAACATATTGATTGGCTGTCGCGCGAAACTTCCGCCGCGCGGCAAGCGTTAAGCCCGTATCAGACTATAAATTAGGATTGAGATTGAATTAAAATTTAGCCAATCAGAGCAAAATTCACTAAGCTCAAGTTTGGTGAATTCTGCTTTGATTGGCCAATTTTCAATTCAATCTCAATCTTAATCCTTAGTCTGATACGGGCTTTACCGCGTCCTGTGTGCAAGAGCCATAACTCCGCACGTTCCGTTCCGCTGAAAATTTCCGCTCCGTGGGATGGCGCTTTTAGGATGCGTTCAGATGGAGAAAGAAATAGCGGAACAGAATAGTTACGGAAAAGAGATATGGTGAGGGTCAACCAATCAGAGTAATTCTGTATTTATTCCGTTCTGTTGTTTGATAGGTAGGTTTTACATGGCACAGAACTGTTACGGGACGGAACAAAAACGGAAAACATTGGGTGTTTTACAATTGCTTGACACATATGTACACAGAAATGTACAAAGTGTAACGTTATGCACGATTTAATTAGAACAAAATGTATATTAATGTATACATATATCGGATAGGGTTAGGATTATTTTTCAACTGTGCTTATATTTTAGTATTTTTTAATAATAAATAATAAAATCTAAATAATAAAAATGATATTATCCACTTCACGTCGCAAATGCTTCTCTCTTTTCAAGCCGCTACGCTTATTAACTTTAATTGTCACTAGAAAACACTAGTTTACACAGCTGACTAGTAGCCCTCGAGCTGAGTACGGACGTGTAGTGTTGTGTTGACGATTGAAAACGCAACTTGTGTCGCCATATGCATGAGAGTGTCTAGGAATATTGCAATTGGAAAGCACTCATTCTAACCTATCAACATCGAAAATTGTAAAATTTTACAATTTTCGATGTTGGTAGGTTAGAATGTTTTCCGTTTTTGTCCCGTTCCGTAACAGGGCCCCTATTCTTGAAATTTTTGCGTATACGTAATTTTCATTGCGCAGCTATTTTATAGTATGATTAAACCTGTGCAGTAAAACTTACGTATACGCAACTATTTTAAGAATAGGGACCCAGTTCTGTGCCATGTGAAATCTACCTATCAAACAACAGAACGGAATAAAAACGAAATTACTCTGATTGGCTGACCCCTACCATATCTCTTTTCCGTAACTATTCCATTCCGCTATTTCTTTCTCCATCTGAACACACCTTTAATTACAGAAAATTTATGGATAGTGCAACCGGTAAAGAAGCTAGTGAGAACATAACATGTGTCACAGATAAGCTTTTACGTACTATAAACAACATAAAGAAGGTCAAGATGTCAATGCAGAATCAGTGGAAACTTTTATCGCAATTGAGGGATTACCTGAACAAGGCCAATTATGATAAAAACCAACAAATCAATTTTTCCAAGGATTGGTTAGATACTTTACAGAAACTAACCTATTCGCAACTTGATACCATACGAAAATTATCATCGTCTGATTCGATTAAATCCACTGAAACAAACCAGAGCTTCTCGGATGCAGGGCAAAAGAATAATAATCCGGAGAATACAAGAGTAACGTTTGTGTCTAACCGACCAGAATCCTATGTAGACAGTTCCACAGCTGTGCAACCAAAAGTTCAAGAGGTGATTATTTTGGATCTTATTTTATAAATTTCTTGTGATGGAATTTCATTTGAAATGAAATAAGTGAAAAATGGTAGTATTTTTACTTAAAGCGATAATAAAACTATTGTTACTAGAAATTGCAAGAATAAATGTTTTAAGCTTAGAATGGATATTGTATTCATATGAATGAATATCTTAATCAGTTATAGTAAATGTTTTTATGACAGTGCAATTATACAATCCATTATGTGTCCACTCTTTAATTAAAAAAAAAAATATTTGCTCAACAATTTAGATTGGAGAATTTATTCCATATAAGTAAAAAAATCAGTCGAGAAGTCATATAAGTAAGAAAATCAGAGTTATTCAAATTTGAGTAACTTAATGGTCACTTTATTTTTCAAATGAAATTGTACTCTAAGATATTTAAAGAGTAAATAAAGTTGATTTTACTCAGGGAACTATTTTGTGTGTGTGTGTGTGTGTGCGCGCGCGTGCGTGCGTGCGTGCGTGTGTGTGTGTGTGTACAGTATATGTGTATATACAAGATCCATGCAACAAACTTTAAAGAACAAAAGGTATTGCAAAAAAGCTTATTTTTTGTCAAGTAACTCACATTCTCTGAAGCGTTGTTTAAGTGCTATGCGACCGCAAAGGTCTCTCTCTCTCTCTCTCTCTCTCTCTCTCTCTCTCTCTCTCTTTCTCAACTGATATTTATTACAATTATGAATTCATCTACATAGGTATATTGGTTTTGTTGATATTTATGTTCTTTTAATCTTTTTATGTTTATATTGTTCAACCAAGCCATAATTCCTTTACTTTGTTTTTACCCTGTCTGTGTATATCAATTCTTGGGCAATTGCTTACAATAATCAAACAAAAGTGAATGTCTTTCATTTGGTTGAGCTCTCTGACATGATAATGTGTTACGGGGAGGTTAGGGAAAACGGAAGAGAAACTCTCCACATCTACCAACTGCGGTTTCCTTGCAGACAATCCCCTGTATTATATAATGTTTGTTTGACTTTTTCGACGTCTTCGAGAAACATGACTTTTTTCGTCCTCGGCACGTTGGACCACGGTGAAGGACCAAATTTAACACAAACCTGAAATGTTCAACAGGATTCGACGATCAATGTTACGATAATGTCATGAATGCAATCAGGCTCAGGGTAGACACTTTGAACACGTTGAACTCTGTAAGCTATATGCAAATATACTTAAAATAATAAATAGGTGATTTATTTCATAATTGTAATAAATATCACTATATTGTAAAAACATGAACATCAGCAGAACTAATGTACCTATATAGATGAATTCACTTCATAATTGTAATAAATATTACCTAAGAGAGAGAGAGAGAGAGAGAGAGAGAGAGAGAGAGAGAGAGAGAGAGAGAGACCTTCGCGATCTCGTAGCACCTAAATGATGCGTCAGAGAACATGGTTTGCTTGACAAAAAATGATTTCTTCTGCGAAACTTCGTTCCTCAGAGTTTGTCGCGGAGATCCTGAATCACTCTGTATACTCTATATATACAGAGTAACTCACATAACTATTTATAGCTTAATATCTCAGAAATTAAGAAAGATATGAAAAAATATTTCCAATATTAAAATATTTATAACAAGTGTTGTAAAATATCGAGGCAAAACAAGATAGTAATATTTATTTGACCTTAACCCTAGGTATACACACTGGGGTCTCCGAGACCCCAGGCAAAGTTTGAAACTCTAATATTAATAGAGAGAATAAGTAAGGAGGATACGACCGCTGTGTAAAAAATATTGGAAGTCTCCTCTGTAGATAGCAACTGTTGGAGCAGTTAATTGTCGGTTTTCACACTGTGGTAATTCACACGTAAAATAAGCCCGGGATCTCCCAGGCCCCAGTGTGTACTTCGTGCAACTTTTTTTGCAAGTATATATATTTTGTAATTAATTTTACTCGAGTTCATAGTGTAAATATATATTCTAAAAAATGTTAAATTAATAAGTAATGTAAAAAAAAAGAACTAATTTTTATTGGAAGACAGAAACACACGGACTAAACGCCCAAAATGATACTACTTTGTTCGGTGAATATTATTTGCCGCTTTTAAATTATTAACGTTTTTCTTTTTCTGTTTCTATTTCATACATTACAAGTTATTGAGTTTGTAAATTTCATTTGATTTTTTAACAAAAATTCTAACTCTTATACCTGTCTGCAAAAGAGCCTAATAGAGGTGGGGGGGGGGGTAGTTTTCAAACAGAACGGAAAGGGTACGAAATCCCAAACATCGTATTTTAATGATATAAATTGTAATATTTTGACTGTAGAAGCAGCGACTGATTTTGCTCGTGGCGAGGAATACTTTACTCTTGAGCCTAATAGAGGTCGGGGGTAGTTTTCAAACAGAACAGCAAAGATACAAAATCTCGAACCTCGTATTTTGACGATACTAATTGTAATATTTCGAGTGTAGAAGCAGCGATTGATTTTGCTCGTGACGAGAGATACTTTACTCTTGAGCCCAATAATGGTCGAGGGTAGTTTTCAAACAGAATGGCAAATCTCAAACCTCGTATTTTGACGATATTATTTGTAATATTTCTAGTGTAGAGGCAGCGACTGATTTTACTCGTGGCGAGGGATATCTTACTCTTGAACCCAATAGTATTTATTTCATTTGAGGACTGTTTTTCTCGGAAAAGGTGAATATATTATATTTTTTTGGATGATACAAATTAGTACAAATTCAGCTCTTTATATTTCTACCTTTGTTTTTAGTTTTTTCTATTTTTTTTTAAGGTTCTGCTAGCTCAGTGTTAAACGTAGCAACACCACGTTTTTTTTTTTTAAATGGCATGGGATACAAAATTTTCATTGGTGGTACAAATTAGTACAAAATAAGTATTAAATAATCAAATAGGCGCGACTTGATTTTGCCCATTTGGTCCTGCCAGCTTAAAAGAACTCCAGAAAATAGAAATATAAAAAATCGTCAATTTTGGAGCCTTGTAATTTTCACGATAATATTCCAATATTTAAGCGACGATTTTTTTTCTTTGTACTTTGAAACATGCCCTTTCAAAATCTGAAAACTTTTTTAAATTATTTGTATTACCAAAAAAGATATGCATTTTTCAAGCTATTACGGTAAAATGACGTTTTCTTTGCATTTATAATTCTAATGTTTCAACACGTCTTTATTATGTGATGCTTATTATAATTTAATTCTAATTCTTAATAAATATATGTGTTTATCAGTCTATTAACAATCGGGAAAAAAGTCAAAATACGGTGATTTTTACCGAAGTTATAATAAAAAAAGTAGCTGGGGTCCTTCAGTATCTACGTATGTGAAAAATAAGTATGTATACTTAGAGTTAAAATTCTTGTTAAGGTCAATTTCAATTTTTATATGAAATCGTGATTTTTTTCTTGTGTTATATAAATTGATTTTTCTGGTTATTCTACGTACGAAAGTATTGGAATAAATTATCGAGAAATAAATGCTTCTGAAAATATTTTATATTTTATTCTGTCACTCTGTTCAATACAAAATATGAGATGTCTCATAAATTATTCATTTTTACTACTTTATCTCAAAATTTTTATTACTTTATCTCAATATTTTGTATATAACATGACGAGAGAAATCGATTGGTTATATTAATCATTATATATGTATCAATAAATTTGTAAAATGCACGGAATTTTATTTAACATTTCTGTATATTTTTTTTTACAACAATCGATTTTACCGATCATTCTGTGTATATACTACAAAAATATTAAGTGTTCGAAAAGTGAACAATTTAAGAAATATTTCATATCTTATATATTGAAAAATAATATAAGGATAAAAAAATGTAAAATAACGTAGAAAGTATTCATTTTTCGATGATTTCACTTCAGTACTTTTGTGCGTAAAATGATCAGAGAAATCAGTTTATGCCGAAAAAATTAAATAATACTATTTAAAAAAATAAAATTTATCTAGATAGGGCTTTTCAAGGTAATTTTAAGAACAAACATTACTATATTTAACATTACTATATTTTAAGAACAAACATTACTATATTTTTTCTTTCGATATCCTACAACTTTTATTGGAAACACTTTTTCATAATTTACAAGATATCGCTTTCTTAATTTACAAGATATCGAGCTGTAAAGAATTACCTTATATTAATCGCTAATTAATAATTTCTCAGATTCATCTCCACAACGTTCGTGGACTCATCTACTATATCTACAATACTTATCTATCATATTGCGCGTGATCATTCACCAATCTTCTTTAATTAATATTTCAAGATTTATTGCGAATATTGTAAAACGGTATGAAACTTTCATGTTCGCCTCAATCCATTCTACGTTCCCACCAACGAGCGGAGACGAATCTGGGACACCCTATATATCCCAATAAACACACCAATTATCAATAACATAACATAACATTAATATTATAATGTCCCACTCAACAATGTAAATACAATGTAATATGTATATTATATAACATTTACATTGTTAAGTGTTTGATCTAAAATGCTAATTTTTTTTAACAGCAAATTCACGAACAAGACAAATCTATTAATAAGGTGGAATTGAGAGACAGCTTTACCATACCACAAATTTTCTCTGCATTGCTTCTCAAATTATCCACCAAAAATAAACAAAGTGTTGTTGTGCCAAAGTGGAAGGTGAATGTTCGCAGCAATATACCGAAGCACAGCATCGCGTCTCGCACACATCATGTCTTAAACAGCATCCTGTCGGCTGAGTCGAACGTGTCCAAGTTGCGACGAATCGATGACCTGTTATTGCATATCGATCAATACCCAGAAACCAGACATTATGCGATCAAGGAGGGTGCGATTAAAGTTTTGCTACGGACACGTCAAAATACAAAGGACGAGCAGATTAAAGGTATGAGAAAGGGAATATTACAGAAAAGCAAAACTATAACTCCGATTTTCATTTTTGCATATTACTTATCAAGGTTAAGTACTAACTAGTTAATCAGTTAAAAAGTTAATAACTTTTAGTTTAGTTTATTTTAAATAAATTAACTCAAATTAATTATTCTAAAATTTATTTTTTTAACTTATTAATTTTATTTTTAACTTATTTTTTGTTTATATAAGTTAAAATAATTGATTAAAATCCGTTGATTAAAATCATTATTGGTTGCTTACAATGTAGAATAAGAAAAATAAAAAATAATGTAGAATTAAAAATAAAGTAGAATTTATTTTCGTCTCTCTCTCTCTCTCTCTTCCCCCTCCCCCCCCCTCTCTCTCTAGGTTCTTCCATTGTTTGGAATCTTCAGCACAAAACAATTCATATTTTTTTTTATAAAAGAATATCTTTTTATTATTTCATATGATTTAGTTTATGATTAGAAAGTTAATTATACAAGAGACGTATATATTGCTTTGCATAATTTTTAACTTTAATAAGTTAATTTAATTTTAACTTTTAATTGCGTTAGTTTTTATTTATGTAACTTTTAACTTAATTAAGTTGGTTTTATAAGCCATTAATTTTAAACTTATCTCAATTAAAATAAATTAACTTATTCAACACTGTTACTTTTGCAGCATCCATCAGAGAAGCATTGGCTGTGATGGGTTACGTCGATCCTCTGCCCAATCGAGGTATTAGAATCCTATCGATCGATGGCGGTGGTATTCGTGGAGTACTAGTGATAGAGATGCTGAAGAAGCTGGAGGAACTCACGGGAAAGAAGACATATGAGATGTTTGACTACATATGCGGCGTAAGCACGGGAGCTATTCTTGCTGCTGTATTAGGTAATTGTGTATGTCTGAAATGTATGCAGAACACATTGAAACACGTTAATATAACATCATCTATTGCGAGAGTAAATTGAATTAGATTGCACTAAATGTCTTACGCTTGATACACTTGTCCTCACTTGATACACTAATATTATATATTAACTACGTGCAGTATTACCAAAGGATGTTGTTGAAGGTAAGCTTTCAGATGGGCTTACAGCAACATGCAATGCTACATGCAGTTTATTTCACTAGTGAATCGAATCTAAAGTCTTCGCATTTTGTTATGTGATTCATCATTTGTTTGTTTTCGATATTGCAGGAGGACACAAGAGAAAGTCATTGGAAGAAGTTTTGGAATTATACAAAGATTTAAGCACTAAGGTGTTCACGCAGAGTGCTATAAAAGGTACGAGTAGCTTAGTCTGGAGCCATGCGTATTACGACACTGCGCTATGGGAACAATTATTGGTGGAGCATTTAGGTGATAAAGTTCTTATCAAAACCATGCGCGATCCGAATGCGCCGAAGGTGAGTAACTTTCAACATATGATTGAAGAAAATTTAAAGTAGTGATCTTAATATACAAGTTGTAATTTAGTTATAAAAGGCACTCAATTTTGTGCATATTTTTTTAGTTTTCAGCTATATCCGCTGTAGTAAATCATGAGCGTGTTATGGCTTACGTTTTTAGAAATTACACATTACCCCATAGAGTGGAAAGTCAATATATGGGATCCCATAAACATAAATTATGGGAAGCTGTAAGAGCATCAGCTGCTGCACCGAGTTATTTTGAAGAATTCAAATACGGTGAATGTCTTCACCAAGACGGTGGTAAGTTATGGGAAATTTTAATATGAAATCCCATCTATTAAAAATATGATAAAAGTTCTCGGAATGTTATAGAAACTATTGTGATATTGTTACAGGAATTCTAGTGAACAATCCATGCGCTGTGGCGATTCACGAGGCCAAACAATTGTGGCCGAATAGTTCGATTCAATGTGTTGTTTCGTTTGGAACAGGTCGAATTCCACACCGTATTTGCGAGAACGAGTCAATATCCTCGCAACTGGCGATTTCCAGCTGGAGAGAAAAATTCTACAAAATCTTGGATAGCGCTACTGATACGGAGGGTAAATATAATAAATTTAATTTTTAAAAAACGAAAATTTTAAAATAAATTGAAAAAAAGGATATTATGTTAAACTTGAATATTTTTTAACAATGACTTTTCCTCTTTAGCCGTACATACGATGTTGAATGATCTGCTACCCGATCACGTCTACTTCAGATTTAACCCTTATTTGACGGAAATGTTATCAATGGTAGAAATACGACCTGAAAAAATCAATCTAATGGAACAAGATGCGAAAATGTACATTCGGCGAAATGAAGACAAATTCCAAAAGGCTGCTACAACTTTACTCGAAAAACGGCAAAATCGACAAAAAATTGCCGATTGGATTACGTTACAAAAACAGTTATTTGGTTTATAAGAAGCAATTATTTGGTTTATAAGAAGCAAGTCTTACGCATTAATTGCACATTTCCTAACGTAATTTATTTGCAAATTACATAGATATCCGCAATATAACTTTTTCACTTTAGTGTCCTAGCCAGAAAGATCCAAATCTCTTTACGCTTTTAATAATATTTATGTAGATTTGTTATACTCTTTAAAAGTAATTTATGTAATTTTCCTTTGTTGCCTCAGTAAATAATATATTTACTAATGAGAGAAAAATATAGCAAGATTTCTATATTTTGATCCACACACACAAATAGAAACATATAATTGTTAGTATAGTTATTTAACTATATATAAATAATATAGTTATTTAATTGTGATACAACCTTCTTGACGCATGAGTTTATTTAAATTAATTGATATAATTCTGTATTTTATTATCTTATTTTCTATAATAAAATTGTAATACTACGTAATACTATGTATAGTTAAAAAATAAGAATAAAATGACTGGGTTATTAAAAGAATGGATTATTCAATCAAGTTATCGACCGTGCCGGATATTGGACTGACTATTGACTATCGACCTCAACTGCTTCGACACAAAAATCGATCCTTCTCAGGGCCATCAAATTTTATAACGATGGAACGATACTCGAACGCATAAAATATGAAATAATTATATCTCGCGTGTTTATGCAACAATAAAATTAAAAATACTCTTCTTCGATCGACAACCTACACAAACGTTATATTGTTGCAACATATTCTATGTTGGTTCAGAATTCTATATTAAAATAAATCTAATATTTATTTTTTTTTCAAGAGTAGCTATTAAGAAGCATTTGTCAAAGCCTCCTAAAAACCTTTCCCCAAGATTTTTACATTACAGTAATTTCCTTGCTAACAATGAAAAATGCATGAACGTTCGAGCGAGCGAAACAGTCGTCGGGCACCGCGTATTGCTCACGTATAGACGAGACAGTGTGAGTCAAGCGTTTTCTTAGTGTGTGTCACACGTATTTTAGGACGGCATTTCTGTCCAGACGTCTTATAATGCTATTTCTCTCGTTTTTACGTTTGCGATAGAGGATGGAAGATCGCAGCGACTCCCACCACTATTCCCTCTCCAAGCGTCCGACGATCGTCGTCGGATGTACATGCACTGTTAAATCCGTAATGTCAAATTAATATATTTGAGTAATTTAACTATTCCTATAAGTATTAACTATTCCTATAAGTTGCCACTGCTCCTACTAAATATGTCGTTAATTTAACTAAGATAAGTAAGATAATGGAGTTAAATAATTTAACTTAAACACAATGTTTTGTGTTAAAATAGTAAATTTCGATACACATGATAATTAAAAGTAACTAAATATTATTGAAGTCAAGAAACTGATTTAAATTAGACTCTCAAATATTAAACAGTGTACGGGCCGCGTCTTCTGTTTGGCATCACACCGTGACCATCGCTGATTCGCCCGAGCGAGAGAAGAAGACAGAACGTCATACGTCTGTCTCCTTGTATTACCCGTTGCCCGACGTTCCGAGCACACACGTATTCGGATGCACATATGGAGCGATGTCTTTCACTATGTTATCAAATGACCGAAGTCTCTGCGTTTTAAGCCTGTTCATTTAAACACAAATTCTTGCATTACATTATCAGCTGCTTGCAATCCGATAGCGACATACGACGTAGAACCAGAGCTGAGGGAAATCTTGTCTGGACGCACTGGCGTTTTACTCCTTCCACTTCTCACACAGAGACGCTTCTGTCCGTCCGTGTGACTACGGGCGCTCGGCCGAGTTCGGCGCACCGAGCGAAAGAGAGAATGTCATTCCCTTGCTCGGTGCGCCGAACTCGGCCGAGGGAGCGTAGTCACACAGACAAACAGAAGTATCTCGGTATGAGAAATGGAAGGAGTAAAACGCCAGTGCGTCCGGGCAAGATTTTCCAGCTCTGAGTAGAACAGGCTTTAACAGTGAATTTCGGATAGCAGTCGAAGACGGAGCAATCTGACGCGTGAACGCCGATTGTTTACAGCGTGCCGCTTGCGTGTCGCCGCCACGCGTCGTACGCGTGTGCCACCGAGAAATAAATATCTCGCGTTTCTTCCTTTTAGAAATAATTTTAATTATAATTCAGTGCTATCTTTTCCACACCACCTGGCGGTAGATAGCATGGCGTGTTTTTTTTTAAGTGGTGTCCCCAGTAGGCCTAATCCACTGTTACAAATTAATGTAACAATTGTTCGAAGTGCCGTCCTCCCTCCCGTATACAAAGTTCGGCTCTTCGTACAATATTGCGCGTCGCACGATGTGCCATTTCCGGCGTGATGGTATTGAAGGCCGCAACAATAGCTTCACGTACTTCATTCTCTGTACCATCACGCCGATGTTCGATCAAATCTTTAACGTAGCCCCATAAGAAATAATTGAGCACGTTAAGATCAGGCGACCGTGCCGGCCAGATGATTGGGCCACCTCGACCCATCCACCTTTCCGGAAAACGCGCGTCTAAAAAATTAC